TATCACGTTTTAACGAGATACTATCACATTTTAACGTGATACGTATCACGTTAAAATGTGATAGTATCTCGTTAAAACGTGATACGTATCACGTTAAAACGTGATACGTATCACGTTAAAATGTGATAGTATCACGTTAAAACGTGATAGTATCTCGTTAAAACGTGATACGTATCACGTTAAAACGTGATAGTATCTCGTTAAAATGTGATACGTATCACGTTAAAACGTGATAGTATCTCGTTAAAACGTGATACGTATCACGTTAAAACGTGATACGTATCACGTTTTAACAAGATAACTATCACGTTTTAACGAGATACTATCACGTTTTAACGTGATACGTATCACATTTTAACGAGATACTATCACGTTTTAACGTGATACGTATCACGTTTTAACAAGATACGTATCACGTTTTAACAAGATACGTATCACGTTATTACGTGATAGCGCTCGGATTTTTTTCCCCCTGCGTGATAGCAATACGCTTCCGTAATTTTCTTTATTTTCTATTGTATATATTTATTTTGTTTTGTAATGAAATTAATAATTTTTTTGAATTGAAAAAAGAGGATTTAAAAACAGTACATCTTGAAAACCACTTCAAATAAACCTTCATGTTACTTTCAACAAAAACAGCAGGACACTGCAGGGAGTCGAACCCCATCTCAAAATTGAGAGTTCCATARCCAGTGCCTTTTGCTTTTTGGTGTAACATGACAGGTAAAGCAAAACCTCCATCAAGAACAGCATATTGAATCATGTTTTTACAAGTTAGATTTAGCATATTCAATTAGTATTTTATAATTACTAAACAAGGATTTCAGAGTCATATCAAATGTTGTAGAATTTCATGAATATTTGTTTTATTAAATGCTGTCTTAATGCAGGAAACAAAACCTTAAATAACTTTGACAAGAACTTCTTTGAATGCAGAATACTAAATAAAGAAAATGAACTTGTTTCATGATATGTACATAAAGATGATATATTTGTGATAGCTTTTTCATTTTAATATAAATTTACTATAAAAAATATGGCCACTAAGCACACTAACAGTAGCCTGTATCTTGCCTTAAAGTTCAGTAAACAGATGAAATGAACCTGCTGCAAACAGTCTGGTGTCCGCTGTCACAGGATACCTTAAAGGGGAGCAAAAATATGCCAGTCATTTCAATGCACAGTGTTTTGTATGGTTATTGCATTTGGTCACTTCATGTTTTTCACAGAGTGGGTCCAGCTTGGGGTGCTAGAGTTCGTTCTAACTAGTTCATACTAACCAGTCCGCACTAACCAGTCCACACTAACCTGTCCACCTGTCCACATTAACCTGTCCACACTAACCTGTCCACACTAATCTGTCCACACTAACCTGTCCCAAACTAACCTGTCCCAAACGAACCTGTCCCGAACTAACCAGTCCACACTAACCAGTCCACACTAACATGTCCACATTAACCAGTCAACACTAACCTGTCCACACTAACTTGTCCACACTAATCTGTCCCAAACTAACTTGTCCACACTAATCTGTCCAAACTAATCTGTCCAATATGCTAAATATGCAGCTGTCCCTGCAGCAGACGCTCCAGCAGCTCATGTCTCCTGTGATGTTTCAGAAACTGTTTCTCTCCAGCTTGTAGTTCCTGTCGTGATCTGAGGTCAGATTTATAAAGGATTGCGTTGAAACCATACTAAAAACGAATGTACGAACAAAAGACGAAAATGGCGCACGTCAAAAAACATTCAGATTTATAAAACCATGTGTACGCATGTTTCACCGTATTTTCCCTTTATAGATCACATCTGTGCCGCATAATTTGCGCACAAGGTCCCGCCTCAGGTTCTGCCCTCTACACGCCCACACTCAACCATAAACTGTCAATGTAAAGTACCTCATGAATGTTAAGATGTATTTAAATCAGTCAGCTTATCAATGTCAAAAAAAGTGATTGGCCGGTACAGACATGCGCTCCTTCGTGCATCTGGAGGATGAGAGGTGCTGACAGCTGCTCACGTGAACAGATTGTCTGTAATTTACACAGATTTTCCCTCATTTTGCAGGTTTACAGACGTTTAGAGTAATCTAATGATTTTTATCAAAAACTCAGCTTCAAATTAATTTTCTCTCAAAGGACGATAAAAACAATAAATCAAATAAAATAAGTCAGATATAGTTAAGTTCACCACTCTTCTCCCCCGTCCTCCCACTCTCTGCTCTGTTATCTGCAGCAGACCCCCCGCGTGCGACAAATGCGGTTTTTAAAAATTGAAATTTTTATAACATCCACACACTGGCGAGGATGGGTGCGCCCTGCGAGTAACCAAAGCGTGACTTCTGCTGTCGTGCTGTTGAAATGTGTCTTGTCGGGGATGGCTCTGTGGGTCAGGGTCGTGAGGAGGAGGAAAGAAATGAGTTGCGTGAACTTTAATTTAAGATTTAAGTTTTTTTTATTTCAAAGCTCCTTCTGGCTCAGCAGCAGAAGCAAAAATATTACTGTTAAGAAAGCTGATGATAAAGTTGAATAAAAATCTAAGTCTGATTATGAAGATAAATTAAATATCTGACAGTGATCATTACACAGTGTGGCTATAATTCCTCACTTCACCATCTGTGTCACAGTTTCCTGTTTTCAAAATGAGCGTACGCATGGGTCAGAGCTGGCGTGAGGCACCGCACATTTTCACGTCAAGTTTGGATTTTATAAATCACAACCTTGGCGTACAAAGTGGCGTACACAAGTTTCTGGGCTCATACTGTGCGTACGCAGGTTTTATAAATCCGACCCCAGATCCTTCAGAAAGAAAGAAAAGACAAAGAAACCTTCTATCTGGATCAACAGGACCTGGTGCCAGACACTACCAGGTACCAGGACAGCCTGGCATGACGCTCCAGCTGCCTGTGGCTCTGCTCGCCCTGCCAGAGGCTAAATCACTCCTTTAAGCTTTAAAAACAAACTATTTACAAAGCAGCTGTAGCAAGACGCTACAAGCCACAGTACACCTGGCCAGAGGCTCAGGTGTTTAAAACCTGTGGGAAGCAGGTTAGTGCTTTTTATTATTTAAAAAAAAAAAGAAATATAAGAACCGTAAAGAGAGAATGGTGTTGTTAATTTAATCATTCATCCTCCACCTCTTGGTACTAACCTGTTCGGATCGACAGGCTTCCCTCCTCCTCCCTGAGGAGCAGAGGTCTTTAGACCGAGACGCAGCTGGAGCCCCAGCCGGAGCGTCGTCCTCCTCCTCCCACTGGAACGGTCCCTCAAAGTACCTCCRGAACCCCACGATGCTGTCATCAGAGGTGGAAGAGGAACCTAGAATAGGAGAATGGTGTTGATTAGCTCTGTGATTTGGTCTCCACCTCAACACACTAACCTGTTCGGATCCACTGTCCTCCCTCCTCCTCCTCCTCCTCCTCCCTGAGGAGCCAAGGCCTGAAGTCCGGGGTGCAGCTGGAACCACAGCAGGAGCTGCAGGAGCCTCAGCAGGAGCTGCAGGTGTGCAAACAGCACCTGCAGAAGGTCCTGCAAAACCTGCAGGAGGNTTTTTTTTTTTTTTTGAAAAGAAATATAAGAACTGTAAAGAGAGAATGGTGTTGGATGTTTTCTGTTTTTTACACTACAGTAAAGAAAAAGAAGAAAAGAAATATAAGAACTGTAGAGAATGGTGTTGTTAATTTAATTATTCATCCTCCGCCTCTTGGTACTAACCTGTTCGGATCGACAGGCTTCCCTTCTCCTCCTCCTCCCTGAGGAGCAGAGGCCTTAAGCATGCAGCTGGAGCCCCAGCCAGAGCGTCGTCCTCCTCTCACCGGAACGGTCCCTCAAAGTACCTCCGGAACCCCACGGTGCTGTCATCAGAGGTGGAAGAGGAACCTGGAGGAGGAGAAGGGTGTTGGTTAGCTCTGTGATTTGGTCTCCACCTCAACACACTAACCTGTTCGGATCCACTGTCCTTCCTCCTCCTCCTCCCTGAGGAGCCGAGGCCTGAAGTCCGGGGTGCAGCTGGAACCACAACAGGAGCTGCAGGAGCCTCAGCAGGAGCTGCAGGTGTGCAAACAGCACCTGCAGGAGGTCCCGCAAAACCTGCAGGAGGTCCAGCGGGAACAGGACCGGCGCGCAGACCGGAGACTGCAACCCAAGGTGGTGGTGGAAACCATATCCTGTTGGCAGGCCGTCTGATGGAAATAAGATTGGTTCAGATTGTCAGTACATGAACAAGTGAACTTTTCTCATATCTGACAGCAGAACAATCAGCTCCAATCATTCCTGAAGTCAGAAACAATCATTTACAATCTGAACCTGTCAGCAGCAAAACTACAGATTTATGACCTGTTTCACTCTGATAGTCAACAGTTATAAAGCTTCATGTGGGATTTTAATGACTGTTTTAAACTGTTTCATTTACCAGAGAAACGTTGAAATAATAAAGCAAATGTTTAAACACAGAAACAGATAAATAGCACAACTGGTACACAAAAACAATCCACAAAACTTTGTTTAAAGCATGTTATATGTTATGGTTATGTCAAATAAAATTGATTTACTCCGAACTTTAGCGTTTTCACAGAGAAGAAAAGAAATATTTAAAATCATAAAGTACAAATAAATTAACTGAAATAATTAAAATTGTGGGTTCAGCTGCAGATGATAGAACGCCTCTGAAGTGATACAAAAATACTATAAAACATATTTTATAATTATTGCAGCCTTAGACCTGACAAGAAACATTAACTTGATTTATGTCACAAACTTAGATGCTAACAATAATAAAAAGTAGATACTATAAGTTTTGTTTTAATTTTTGTACAGTAAATAAAAACTTCTTTAAGTCTTGTGAACAGAAATAGGTCAGTAGAACTCCTGACAGCTCCAACATGTAAAATATGTACACATATTGTCAGTCCGTTATTATTTTCTTTGCTAATAAATGATATGTTTAATGATATAGAAGAGGGATGGGAAGGTCGTTATTTGCAGATGACGGGGCTTTATGGAAAAGAGGGAAAAATATAGAATTTATAGCAAAGAAGATACAGACAGAAATTAGGAAGGTGGAAAATTGGTCACATAAATCGGGATTTAAATTCTCCGTTGAGAAAACTAAAAGTAATTTTCACAAGGAAAAAGATAATTAACAATGTTGAAATTAATTTAAACGGAAAAGTTCTTGAGCGTGTGAAACAATTTAAATATCTAGGAATATGGTTTGATGAGAGAATAACATGGTCAGTTCATATCCAAAAAGTAGAAGATAAATGCAAAAAAAAATATTACATATAATAAATAAGATGTTTAATAGGAAGAGACTGGGGAGCAGACAGGAAGTCACTCAAAACTATTTATACAGGACTCATCAGATCAACACTGGACTATGNCACAACTTGTAAACAAAACAATCCACAAAACTTTGTTTAAAGCATGTTATATGTTATGATTATGTCAAATAAAATAGATTAACTCTGAACTTCTGCGTTTTCACRGAGAAGAAAATATATATTTTAAATCATAAAGTACAAATAAATTAACTGAAAGAATTAAAATTGTGGGTTCAGCTGCAGATGATAGAACGCCTCTGAGGCGATACAAAAATACTATAAAACATATTTTATAATTATTGCAGCCTTAGACCTGACAAACATTAACTTGATTTATGTCACAAACTTAGATGCTAACAATAATAAACAGTAGATGTTACTATAAGTTTTGTTTTATTTTTTTGTACCGTAAATAAAAACTTCTTTAAGTCTTGTGAACAGAAACAGGTCATTAGAACTCCTGACAGCTCCAACATTTAACATATCTACACAGAASTAGCAAAATGCAGCACAACACGAGAGTCTTGTAGCTACAAGTTACAGCGCGTCTCGGTAGCTAGCTAAGCTAATTAGCTAAGCTGCGTACTGACGTCACGTGACCGACGCACTTGAACGTGAGCCGCCTGACGTTCTGACGGCAGGTGCCTAAAAGTTCCATCATCTCCATAGCAACATAAAGCCAGGTTTTTGACTATGACGTCAACTCTGACGTGTTCATTGCCTCTGCTAGGAGTCGCTTGTTATTCTTTAAAAGCTCTTTGAAGCAGACGGACAGAGGTGTACTCAAGAGTTTTAGCTTATTTTTTCGCTTTTATTTATTTAATAAAAGTCAGAAAATGCAGCGTGGATACAGAACAGATGATTTTCCTATCGTTTCAGGTGAACCAGTCCAAATCAACGTCCGGCCGTTGACGCAACAACTGGGAACGAGGAACGCTCCAAAAACTCCAGTAACGGTTATAGAGTTTTTTTTTTATTTTTTTTTATCGATGGTTAGCTGACTTCAGACGTGAAAAGAATAGAAAGTTTGTCTGCTATGAGCCCAGAGGAGGTTCAGTGTAGTTTACTGTTGGATTTCACTAAACTGTTTGCCGAGCTCACCGTGGCAAGATACTGTGAGGACCCTGATTATCCTGCTGCATCGCCTGGAAGACCACCGCCCCCACCTCGATGGATCTCACCTGGTACCCTGGACTCAGAACCAACAGGTGTCCTGGACCTGTGTGAGCCTCACAAACATCCACAGATCTAAGGTCAGTTTTCACTGATCTGACTCTGTTTGTACGGGCTGTGAAGAAGTCGTCCTGCACACAACATCACATCATTTAATCCATGATTAGTTGTAACATTACACTTTATTTAATAAACATGTATTTTAACTGTAAATTAAAGACTGTAAAAATACTTAGTTTTATCATTTTTAAACCAAAAGTGTCAAAAGTYGCAGTTTGTAGAGCTAATACATATAAGGCGTACATTTAGTGTCTTATAACATTATAAGTTTAATGTTACAGCTAGTCAGGGATCCCTTTTAGACAACAGATGTATACTCACAGTGAAATATGTTTGATATTTTATGTGAGAAAATTCAAAGCAGTTTTTATTCACACTGTTTTCATGTTTCTCTTTATTATTTAGACCCTATCTCCTTCCACAATGTTTGTGCTGTTTTTACAATTCATATATCAAAATGTTCANCTCTAATTCAAGCAGAATAGCCTATTGTCAACATAATTATGGAGTGTGATTTATTTTCAACTCAAAATATCTTCAAACTAACGAAATATAAAGTTATTAGTGAAGAAAACCCGTCTGGATAACAGCAGACTGACTGCTGGTAAAATATATGACAGGTCTGGACCACACAGAGGTGTCAAGTAACTAAGTACAAATACTTTGTTACTTTACTTAAGTAGTAATGTTGGTTATTTATACTTTAGTGGAGTAATTATTTTTCAGCCTACTTTTTACTTCTACTTCTTACATTTTAATTCAATTATCTGTACTTTCTACTCCTTACTTTTTTAAAAATGCAAAAAGTATTTCATTTTTAGTTAACTTTGACTTGTTTTTATTCCATCTTTTCGTTGTTCAGGAAAAAATTAAATATAAATCTATCCAGACACATGGAGCCATGGATTTGATTGTAGTTGGATGAGAAGTGTAAATATAAACCATCCTGACATCCTATTGGATTGAACACACTCCATCATACCTGTGTGAAACAAATCACATCACATCCAGCAGGACAAACTGTAGCACAGTGATTCCCAACCAGGGGTACAAGTACCCCTTGGGTTAGGGGAGCATATTACGGGGGTACGTGGAGGTGCTAAAAAATAAGTTAAAATAGCAGTGCGGAAATTATGGATTTCACACAAAATGGAATCCAGTATAAAATGCAGATTCTCACAGAATTTGCTCATTTGGGTGAGTTTCTGATGTATTTTGGATGTTGCTGTTTTCTGCACCTGCCATTACCTGGTTTACTTATTTAATTACTTATTCACTTTCAAGGCAATATTTTTCATTTAAATGCCTGAGAATTAAATGTTCTATGGGGTTAAATAAATAATTTTATTTAATAAACAGTTGTTGTACATTATAGTTTTGGAGAATCGTCATTACGTTTGACTGAAGGGGTATTACAGAATGGCTTGGGGTAAAAAAGTCTAAAAATGTTGGGAACCACTGAGGTAGAAGATGTAGCCTAGTATGAAGATGACCGTGGCTGAAACAAGTAGTCCAGCCTGGCCCTTGCCTTCCCACGCAGTTCTGCTCAATTTTAGTTTCCCTTACCAGGCTAAGTCTGGTCAGTTAATTCCAAACTTTCAAACATTTTAATTTAACATTATACTCATTATTGTCTTTAGAAGAAAAATTGTGTCTGTGTGTGTGTGTGTGTGGGGGGGTGCTATAATCCCTGAGGCACAGCCTAAGATTTTATCTTTAATGGCCTTTTATATAGTGTTCATTACTTTTACTTTTATACTTTGAGTAGTTTTAAAACCAGTGCTTTTATACTTTTACTTAAGTAAAAAGCTCAAGTTGATACTTCTACTTCCAAAAAAGTATTTTTAAACCGTAGTATCTATACTTCTACTTAAGTAATGAATGTGAATACTTTTGACACCTCTGGCACCACACGTGAATTTTGTTCGTGTCTGAAAAAAATCTTAGAATACGAAAACGTTGGTGAATGTCACAAATTCTCCTAAATCACTCGTACGCACAACTTATGAACAAATCTGTGCGTACGAACGGTTCTTACATCAGGCCCAATGTTTGACCCACTAAAAACAGTTCTGAAGCAGCCCCCCCTCTCCCTGCAGACCTGCTGCTCAGTCACGTCTTTTTTTTTATTATTCCTTCGTCCGGAACATTTTTCTGCTCAATAAATAACTTTGGGCCTCAGTCAGAAAAAACTGGAGAGTTTTTATAGTTTTGGCCCAAGGGGAGTCTAATGTTCTGAGTATGACAGGCTTTGTTGCTCTCTTTAGGAGGTTTACTGGCAATGGATCAGTCAGCCACGCCCGCTGAGCAGCGCAGCCCGGTCCCTGCCACCTCCTAACAGCCTGAGGTACCAGACGCTGAAGCAGCCACTGCTGTCCCACCTGCTGCACCATGACAGCCAGCAGAGACACAAGCTCTGCGAGGACAACTGGGAGGAGTCCTTAGGTGTGTGCCTGCTGGTGCCACAGGGCGAGTCCAACGACACGCGCACTCTGCTGCAGCTCGCCGACCCGAGCGACGCCGCGAGGATCCAGAAGCTCCTCCACTTCTCCCTTTCGCTGACGGCCATCGACGGCGGCGGGGAGGATGACATCAGCTTCGAGAGCCTCCGGAGGAACCGGGCCGAGGCTGGAGCGAGGAAACACGACTGCTTCAGAAACCTGTTCGAGGCAGAGATGTGTCCCGCGCCGTTCGTCCACGGATCACGGTTTTATTGCTTTCACTGTCCTGGAACATCTGGAGCAGCTGCTGATCTGCTAAAAAACACTCGGGCCAGTGGACTCAGCAGGAAGACTGCAGAGCTGCTGCTGCTGCCGTCTGACCCTTTGTGCAGCTATGCAGACAGAGAGGAAGGGCAGAGTGAAGAAGAGGAGAAACTGGCCATAATGTATGAAAGACTGCAGGTAGAGGTAAGAGTCTTCAGACAGGTGTTGGTGTCACAACAAATGTAGAGTCTGTGAGGTATGGACTCCCACAGCAGAATGGGTTTAATGTGCTCACAAAGCTGGAAAATGCTCACGAGAGTCTCAAGTGTTTTCATTAAGTCTGTTGGACTCTGTTTCCTCTGAGGAGTAGGGGAGACCGGGGACAGTAACAACAAGGGACGGTTGCAACACGTCATTTTTCTCCAAACAGAAACATAGAGTGATGACACTCACACTGTACATGCTCAGTTAGATGTTCCACCTTGAAAAGAAAAAGTAAACAGATTCAAAAACTGATCCAGGATTTATTTGAAAAAAGGGAAAAAAAACTGTTTTTGAGGAACCAAAGTATTTTTTTTTCCCAGCTTTATTTTTGTTAAACTGTTGTCACTGTTTTTGTGATCCAGCTCAAACTTATATGGTTTAAACAAGTGATCTGTTGACTTTTAACTAATCTACTTAACATGTATCCAGATGAGCTTATTTAGCTAACACATGAGGTTTTATCATGGCTGAGAGGAAGGGGGACAGTTGTAACAGTTGTTGTAACTGTCCCCATACGATAAATCCATATAAAAACAGAGCACATACAGTTGAGATTAAGATGTTGAAATTAAGTTTACGCTTAAAAGGCTTTAGGGTTTTCATGACAGTTTTATAGTTTAAAACATAAAAGTGTTTAAGATGTATTTTCTGCAGTTGTTTTCAACAATGGTTTTAAAATCCCAGTTTGTTTCAATGTAAATGTTACATAATGTAGGCGTACAGTGACAATAGACAAAACTAAAGTTAATTGTCTCACAAATTGTTCTATTAGTCTTGTCTCTAAAAGTCAACTGTATTTTATTTTAGAGTCTTTGACATCTGTATATAAGGTCGACTCATCAAGGCTAATCTATATTCATCATTTGATCAAAAAGAATAAATAAATAACACTGTAATATCATTAGCTTACAGTTTTTATTAGTTAAGCAATAATATAAATATAAAAATATTAAAACTTTTATTTAGAGTGAAATATATTGTATTAATAATACGTATGTTGTAACCACCCCCAAACAACGTTGTAACTGTCCCCGGCCCCGGGGTCAGTTGCAACATCTGACTTTTCCTTTTCAAATACAAATAGTGAAGAATGTACATGATTTAATCATCTATAAATGGTTTTGACTGTTAACAGACAGATGTGAGTTTATTGTATTCAAATTTGGTTTGTYTAATTCAAACCATCTCTGAGTAACAGAGTCGAATGTAAAAAGTGTTGCAACTGTCCCCGGTCTCCCCTACAGCTCAGAGGAAGACTGTGAAGAAGGTCACTGAGCTGGAGTTTAACTCTCACAGTCCTGACAATGAATCTCTGTGCAGTTTTAGTGCGAGTAAAGAAAACAGGATTGATGGATGAGTGTAGCAGTGATGTTTTGTGTGAGGTTGAACACAACTCCTGCAATCAGCCTGCAATCACTCAGCCACTGGTTTAAAACACACTCATGAAGGGATTGATGAATACAGCTGGAACTAAATATTTACATACACTAAGAGACATAGATGCACTTTATTTCCTCACTGCCTGACGTTAAATCAGATTAAAACCTTCCTGGTTTGTGTCAGTTATGATTCACAGAATTATTTATTTTGGTAAACGTCCAAATAAGGAGAGAGTGAGATTTTCTTTTACAGCTTCTTAAAAGTCACAAGTTTCTCCCAGTATGTTGCTGGATATTTGAAAGATCTGAAATATTTGGTGCAGTCAGGTTTGTAGGTCTTGTTTCCACACACCTTTTCAGCTCTGCCTACAAATTTGTCTTTTAGACTGAAATCAGGGCTTTGTGATGGCCAGTCCTAATCATGGACTTTATTGTCTTTAAGATACTTTGTAATTAATCTGTCAGAATGTGAGCCCAGGCTTTAACTTTCTTGATTATGGTGCGATATGAGGGCTAAATTTAAGATTATTGTGGAACCAGTGTTTGCTACATCCTTGTACTAGCAGGAGGCAGTATCTATTCCTAAGCCAGCTATTGATCTGATTAATGTTAGGCCGGCACCGCTAACTGAGCAGCTGGTCCTGGTATCTGAGCGGCTGCCGCTGGCAAATGAGAAGGAGACTATTCATTTACATTAGCAATGGAGAGGCTAAAGACTAGCATGGATAAGCTGGTGTTAGCATTGGAGAGGCTAGCGACTAGCATGGATAAGCTGGTGTTAGCATTGGAGAAGCTAGCTACTAGCATGGATAAGCTGGCGTTAACATTGGAGAAACTAGCGACTAGCATGGGTAAGCTGGCTTTAGCATTGGAGAAGCTAGTGACTACCATGGATAAGATGGCTTTAGCATTGGAGAAGCTAGTGACTAGCATGGATAATCTGGTGTTAGCATTGGAGAAGCTAGCGACTAGCTTGGACAAGTTGGTGTTAGCGTTGGAAAAGCTAGTGACTAGCATGTATAAGCTGGTATTAGCATTGGAGAAGCTAGTGACTAGCATGGGTAAGCTGGCTTTATCATTGGAAAAGCTAGCGACTAGCATGGATAAGCTGCCTTTAACATTTGAGAAGCTAGCAACTAGCATGGATAAGTTGGCTTTAACATTGGAGAAGCTAGCTACTAGAATGGATAAGCTGGCGTTAACATTGGAGAAGCTAGCGACTAGCATGGGTAAGCTGGCTTTAACATTGGAGAGGCTAGTGATGTAGGGGAAGTTACTTATGTAAAATAAGCCCACCTCTACACCTTCTCATAACAAAGTTATGAGAGAAATTTTTACCAAGGTTTTTCTCATTACTTTAATATTTGACTGTACAAAGTGAAGAGTGGCACAATAAGTGAACGTTCAGACGAGTTCAAGTTGATTCATAAAAGATTATGCAATCATTTATTTACACAAATTGAACAGATCATAAGTTACACCTGATTGTGGATTTCCTATAACAAGCGTCAGAGAAATGAGATAAAACTCGCGTCCGAATTTCAATTCACATTAACTCAGATTACTTATATAGAACAGTAAAACGTCAGCTCTGATGTTAAAACCAAACAATTCTACTGGCACTTTTAACTTAAGGTTGGCAAAGAAAGGATAAGAAAAGGGATGAAAATTAAAGATTAGTGTTTCTGCTCTTATTTTGGAAAGTGTCTGTGACAACCGGATTAGCACGTCCTCTCTGCGCTCAGACTTCAACATGACACGTCACCCCGAACACGTCAGCTTTACCTGGTGATGTCTTCTCAAGGCACCCCTGGTATGAACTGTTTCACCCCGACCATCCAGGAAGCTTGTATCCGCTGGTCCCTGGCGAGTAGGTGTTTTTCAGGTGGCTTTTAGTCTGTTTCAGCCCAGGCTAGAAAGATTCCAGCTGAAAGTTCCGGTCGTCCTTCAAAATAAAAGTTCTCCCCTCGGGAGGTNATTTAGAGCTGTTCCAGGCCACACTCCACATCAGTAGGTGGCGGTAATGCACCTTAACGTTGTTTGCCAACCACCAAGAAGAAGAAGGAAGGTTGTCCCTCCTGGCTTTCCATCCATACAAACACGTTCTGCGTGAGGCTGGACAAGGACACGAGTGGGACATTTGTGTAACTTAAAGTCAGTTGTGTGCTATTTTTGTTGGCCTGTGTGGAGCTGCGGTGACAAACCTGAGACCAGGACGAACCGGGAGAGACTTCGGCGGCTCGGCAGAGGGTAGGCATGTTGAGATATTTGTAGCCTGCTGGGTTTTGGTTGTGTAGCTTAGCATGCTAACAGCTGTCATTGACTCAGCTTTGCAGCATTTCTTATGTTTATGTCCGACAAGAAAAAGCCGGCTGTTTATTAAAAGACCTCGCTGTGTTATGAACTGTTTATATCGTGCCGGAAAATAGTGCTAAACATTAACCTGACATTGTGATCATATCTGTCGATCTAACAAGAAACATGAAGGAATAATGTGTTAGGGAGGTTTTCTGTTTGTATTACCAGTTTGTTATTAATATTATTAATTCTGTAATTCTTAAAGACTGAGACCCACTCTGTTTGTCCTCTAAACACAATACAGATATCCCCTTGACTATTCTGATGACCGGTTTAATTAATTTTTAGTTAATCGTTTCTATAAACAGTAGCCTGAATGCATTTAATAACAATAATAAAAAATAAACATATTTTAAGCCCTATAAGCTATAAAAATTTATTTATAATTGTTAATTTAAAAACATATCAATAAAACTGTGATCAAATAACTCACTAGTTTATTTTTTCACCAGTTAAATAATGCAGTTGCTGATGTGTTGTTTATTAGAGACAGTAAAATACATGTTGTTTTGTCCTGTATTTTACTCTGAATGCAAATCTAATAACTCCAAGTTTTGAACTTGGAGCTGTTTTTAGCAGTCAGTATCTTACCTGTGGCAGACAGCAGTCTGGTTGATTGCGGTTTGAGGAATCAGAAGTCAACAACTCATAGTGGTATATATCTTTATGCACCTCACGATTCAAAGGACTGTGAAATGATTATAAAACAATTATTGATGCTTTCTGAATCACTGTAGCTTTTTAAACTGCAAACACTGATTTATAGTCTGAAAACAGAGTACAAAAAGCCCTAATAATCACAGCCTGTTGGTCAACAATTATCATAGATAACTTTCATTTAAAACACAGATAATGAAGCATTGTGTAGAAATTTATACACAAATCAAAATTTGTGAATAAAAAATGTAAAAGCAGTTTTACTGCAACATGCTTCCAAAAATAGACTCCTAATAAATAGGGATTATTCTGTGTCTTTTTAAAGGGGTAATATCACGTAAAATCAACTTTTTTGAGTTTTATATCATGTTATAATGTTATACTCTCATAAAAAGCATGCCCAAAGCCTTGCTTTGACTCATTCATGCATGTTTGAGAAATCCTGCAGCGTTTTTATGAAGCCATGCTGAGGAGCAAAACGACAGGTGGGGACCAGAAACACCTCTAGGATGTGTCTTTAAAGCCAAACTTCCTCATGACAGAGCC